CAGAGAGGAAGAGAGAGGGATAGAGAGTTAGAAACATCGATGAGAGAGAAACACCAATCAGCTGCCTCCTGCACACTCCCCACTGGGGATGTGCGGGCAACCAAGGTACATGCCCTTGCCCGGAATCGAACCTGGGACCTTTGAGTCCGCAGGCTGACACTCTACCCACTGAGCCAAACTGGTTAGGGCATTAAATCTTAATTGTTGAGTGTATTACAGATGCCCCCCCCCCTTTCTCCCCTCCATTGTCTTACTCCACCAAGCTCCTGCCCCACCCCAGGCCTTCACCACCCTATTGTTTGTGTCCATAGGTAACGCATGTATGCATTTAAGTTCTTTGGTTAATTTCTTTCTGCCCCTCCCCCATCCCTCTGAGATTTGTCAGTCTGATTCATGTTTCCATGCCCATGTTTCTATTTTATTCATCAGTTTATCTTGTTCATTAGATTCCTTGTTCATTTATTTTGATTTTTAGATTCAATTGTTAATAGATACATATTTATTGCCATTTTATTGTTCATATTCTTAATCTTTTTTCCTCCTCCTCCTCGTTCTCCTCCCCCTTGTCCTCCTATTCTTCCCTCCTCCCTCTTCTCCACCTCCCTCTCCACCTTCCCTTTCCTCTCTTTCTCCTCCTTCTTCTCCCTTCAACATTTCCTGTAATACTGGTTTGGTGGTGATGAACTCCTTTCCATCCACCGAGCCAAACCGGTTTTGGCTGACCTTCAATTCTTAATGATAGCTTTGCTCTGTAGAGTAATCTTGGTTGTAGGTTTTTGCTTTTCATCACTTTGAATATTTCTTGCCATTTCCTTCTGGCTTGTGTAGTTTCTGTTGAGAAATCAGCTGACAGTCACATGGGTTCTCTCTTGTAGGTGACTGATTAAACTGCGTTTCTCTTGCTGCTTTTAAGATTCTCTCTTTGTCTTTAACCTTTGACATTTTAATTATGATATGTCTTGGTGTGGGCCTCTTTGGGTTCATCTTGTTTGGGACTTTCTGTGCTTCCTGGACTTGTAAGTCTATTTCTTTCACCAGGTAGGGGAAGTTTTCTGTAATGATTTCTTCAAATAGGTTTTCAATTTCTTGCTCACTCTCCTTCTGGCACCCCCATGATGCAAATGTTCATACAATTCAAGTTGTCTCAGAGGTTCCTTTTTTTATTTGTTTGTTTGCTGTTTGAATTGTTGATTTGATTCTTGGCATCCTCTACTCTATTGTTGATTCCCTGTAAATTATTCTTCATTTCAGTTAGTGTATCCTTAATTTCTGACTGGTCCTTTTCATGTCTTTGATGTTCTCACTAAGACCCTTGAAATTCTCACTAAGTCCCTTGAAGCTCTCATTAAGTTCCTTGAGCAACCTTATAACCATTGTTTTGAACTCTGAATCTAGTAATTTGCTTGTTTCCATTTCATTTAGTTCTTTTTCTGGAGATTTCTTCTATTCTTTCATTTGTGATGTTTCCTTGCCTCTGCATTTTGGCTGTTTCCTATGTTTGTTTCTATATATTAGGTAGAGCTGTTATGTTTCCTGGAATTGGTAGAGTGGCCTTGTATAGTAGGTGTCCTGTAGGGCGCGGTGGCTCAGCCTCCCCAGTCACCTGAGCTGGGCACTCCAGGTGCATCCCTGTGTGGGCTGTGTGCTCAGTCTTGTAGTTGAGCCTTGATAGCTGTTGGCGTCACTGGGTGGGATTGACCCCCAGGCCAACTGGCTGTGAGGACTTGCTGTGATTACAGCAGAAGAGCTGTTGTGCAGGTGACACCCCTATGGAACAGGACTTGATTTAGTGGGGCTTTGGTGCTCACCGAGTTTGCCCCTTGAGTGTGTCGCTCATGGATGTGTAGAGTTGTAATCTGGTGTGGTCTGAAGCTGTTTATAGGGTGCACTTGTTCTGGGGCCTCCTGAGAGATGCAAAGTCATCCACAGCCTGTACCTTGTCTGGGGCCACCCAGCACAAATTACAGAGTGATTTGCAGATGGCTGCTACTTGTGTTGGGCTTGGAGGTGCCCAGGAGAGGCCAAACTGTGAACCAAGGCAGGCTGCTGTAGTGCCTGGCATGGGACTGCTTAATGAGAGGTATGGGATGTGCTGAGATCAGATGCTGCTCATTTGAGAAATTTTAGGAAAGTCTAAAGCCTGAAACAGGACAGGCCATTTATATGGAAAAGCCAGTGCAAACAGCTTGGGTTGGGTAGGATCTTGTAATTACCAGGGCAGGGCAAACAGTGTGAGCCAGGTTGATGTAGACTCAGATATGCCATCTGCCAGTCAGCTCTGTGGTGGGGGAGGTTTCAATATTCAGTAGGAACTCTGAACACTTTTGCTAACACTTTTGTGTGGGAGAAAGTTGCCCCTGAGTTTTTGTCCTGATGCCAGACAGTTTAGTTTTCCCCCGTATGTCCCTGGATCCTTTCAAGCTGCTGCCCCAGCACTGGAGCTCAGAGGAAGTTAACTCTGAGTAAGTCCCTGCACTGGCCCTTTAAGAGGAACTGTTTGGTTCTCTAGCAGCCTTTGTGTCACAGCCACAATCTCCGCTGTTTTTTATAGCGTGAAATTACAGGACTTCTCTTCCCAGCACTGGAACCCACCCTGGGTTGAAGGGTTTGATGTGGGGCTGGGACCTCTTGCTCTTCACGGGAAGCCTCTGCAGCCGAGATATCCCTCCCAATTAAAAAAAGTGACACACGTGGGTTTTGGACAAGCTTGTTTTGCACCTCCACTCCTCCTGCCAGTTTCAGTGTGCTTTCTTCTTTAATTCTCTAGTTGTAGGACTTCCATTCAGCCAGATTTCAGGTGGTTCTGAATGATGGCTTTTCTATATTTTAATTGTAATTTTGATTTAGTTGTGGGAGGATGCGAGTACCACATGTACTTACGCTGCCATCTTGGTTACTCAGTAGAAATATTTTAGGCAAGAAGGGATTGGCGTGCAATAATCAAAGGGATGAAAAGCAAGGACCTACAATTAAGACTACTTTATCCAGCAAAACTACCATTTAAAATTGAAGGAGAAATAAAGAGCTTCCCAGATGAGAAAAAGCTAAAGGAGTTCATCACCACCAAATCACTGTTTTTAAAAAGTACATATTTTACTTAAT